GCAATTTTCCATTTATCTACTCATTAAAACGTGTGCACCGATTTCGGTTGATACAAAACCAAATCAATAACTTAGCAGGTAGTTTAAATGATAACAAAGACGAGTTATAAATTTAGATATTTTAAGTTCAAATTTTGATAATATTTTAGGGTTAGATCATGAATGATTTATCTTTTAAGAATATTTTAGTTCCGACGTAGATAATTTATTTTTGATCGAACCAAAGAAAAGATTAATCGAAGCATTTATAAATTGATCCGAACATCCTAAATCAAAGATGATGAAATATAGACCTTATTTATTGGGGGTACATTTGGCTGTAGACTAGAGCCACTTTGCTAGCGTTCTCAATGGGAAAACTAAACTGGTTTTGAGGAAAGGTCACCTCAAAAGCCGTGTGGGCCTGTTTTAAGCCGAACAACATTAAACAAAAAATTTTGTAATGGAGGCCACTAATTGTTAAGTTCTAGAAACTTGAAACCTAGCACTCTACATAATACATTGGATGCTTGGAGCTGTTTTTTTTTTTTTTTTATTAAATTTTGAGAGTTAAAAAAGTTCTCAAAAATTGTTTGGGTATTTTTTAAAAAGTTGAAAAAGTTGAAAAAGTATATTTGAAGTGAATTTTGAACTCTTTTTGTGTTAAAATAAAAAAATAATTGCATGTATGTATAGATTATGTATAATAATTCTCAAAATATAAATTTCAAAATTTTTTATGTCACTAATAATATTTTATAAATATAATAAATTTAAAAGTTATATGAGATTTGTGACAAAATTTTAAAAAATCGGAAGAAAAACTCATAAAATTAATTTTTGGAATCAACTTAAATAAGTCTTTTTGGGTTCAAAAAGTTACTACATAAGCTAGTAAAAAAGTCAATGTCCAAACAAATTTGACTTTTTTTTTTCCAAAACACTTAAAAATTATTTATTTAAGCTAGCTTCAACCAGACTCATTATTATTCCCTTAAAAGACTATTCAAAACTCGCACGAGTAACCAAATAACGTGGTGTTAGTTTGAAACGACCAATAAACTCAAATTTTGGATTTAACTTTTTATACTTGTGATTAGCGGGTGATTGCAGATATCTTGGTTTTATTTTGTAGAGGTGGGTCCAATGCCATCCTCTTTTAAAGAGGTAGCATGGAAAAAAAAAAAAAACAAATCTAGCCAGTTGGCATAAACCGGGCTCTTAATTGGTCACACACATTCATTAGGTTTGCAATTTAGGTTCAGTTCATTGATGTTGAGAAGTCTTTTGGTCAAGAATGTTTGGTCTTGGTCTTGGTCTTTGATTCTTTGTTCTACACATAATGCATTTCTTGCAATGGTGGAGGATGGCTTGGAACACCAAGCTTGGCCAAGAGACTTGAAAACACAAGCTTTTTGTGCTAAGTCCTCTCTAACTCTTCATTCATATTTATTTCTTGAATTCTTGATAAGGATAACTGATTGCTCAAACCTGTCAGAAAAGTTGCAAAATAAATGCACAAGAGGGTGGATGAGAATGGTCAAGGATCATGACATTTCATTCATTTGCTTTTTTGGGGGTCTTGTTGACAAAGTTTGTAACACAAGAATTTTTCAATTTAATGCAAAGTTTGGATAACAACCGTTGTAGTTATGCTCGTATATGATCGCACCTATCATTTCATCCCTTGTGGCCTTCAATTTCATAGGACCTGCATTGGATTTCCATTGTAAAAAAACTTGAATTTCATATGACCTAGTGCTTGAAGGAGTTGAGTAATATTTCGAAAGCCTTTGGGATGAACTCATTTTGCCCTAATGTATAGAATAGAAATACAATTCCTAGTTTCCATTCCATTGATACATTCCCTTAATTTTCAGTTTTAGGTTACCTATCAATATGTCGATGAGGAGTTCATTTTAATTTAATAAATCCCGCTTAGATTCTTAGTAGGTGATCTATAATTACTGGAATTGAATCAATTCAGTACTGGAGTCGATCCAACACCATTATGTTTTTGCAATCTCCAAGGACCCCAAGAGAGTGTGTGTTGTTGATGTGCAGATGGAGAAGAATGATCCAAGTCCAACTAATTCCACCATCCATGTCCCTTTTTTCTTATTTAACGAGTTCTAGCTTACGCATTGATAACTGAGTATCCGTATTTTATGCATATTGCATCACAAAAGTGTTGGTCAGATCTGGCCATGTGCAAATGGTATTTGGGTTAGTGTTCATCAACCAAGTCATCATGGGTCCCATCAAACTGTTCAAAGCTAAAAGCTTAGATTTTTCCATGAAGTGGAAACTTTGATTTCTTGGACTAAGTGTAGGAAATTAGTCGCATCTCTTTGGACAAAGCAATTATATATATATATATATATCGTTAATAGAAGCTCTTCTAAGCATTTGCAAGTGCCCTCTAGATTTGATACTACATTTTTCTTGGTCAAAATGGCTTCTAGATTTTGATAATACATTCTTCCTTTACAAAAAATCAACGTGGTTGCCCAAAGTTTAGCCAAGGATGACTTGTTATTATGATCTCGAAGTCAAGGGTTTTGCCCAGTTGGGAAGGCGGTTTTGAAAGGTTCGTAAGATGGATTTTAGTTTAGTCTTCGCTTACTCAATGTAATGACAGTGAATTTCTTACTGCTTTCAGAACCAAAAAAAATACTTAGTTTTTGTATTCTCTATGAACTTTACTTTCTGTTAATAGATTAAAGAATGTTAATTGTAGTGACAAGCTTGTTCATCTTGGGATTTCTTGTTGGACTCTTAATATAAATACCATATGTGATTGTGAGTCCTTGGGTTTTCTAACAATAACAAAGGAGATGACAAGGAAGTACTCTTTTGAATGCATTTCAAGAAGTTCACTTTTGAAATATCTGTAAAATGACAATTTCATTAATAAACTTCCTTTAAAAAAAATGAATGAATGAATGAGAGAGATAGAGAGAGTGTGCTAGAAAGATGCAGACAGGATTTGTTTATGTAAGTTTATTTGTATATATCCTAATTATAGAGAGTGATTTGATTAACGATAAATAAAGAGAGATGGTGTGATCTTTTAAGTGAATGACGAACATTGAGTTTATAGGAGAGTGTCAAGTTTATTAAAGAAGAGGGAATAGAACCAGATTTTATACTTTTTTGGACTTCTTGTTTCATAATATTTTTAAGCCAAAAATATAATTTGAGGCTACTCATTTTATAGGGCTCCTAAGCAAGTAATATCACCCGACCTATCACCAAAACCGGTATGCTTTTAGTGCTCGGAGAGTTCACTTGAAACCGCTGATCGGCAACCGTCGACTCTAATACTATTTATTGAAAGAGATAGAATTTAATGATTCAAAATTCAATATACATATTTGAAATTCATATTTACTTTAAAAGTTTAAGCCTTCAGTGAATTCATCCAATATATATTTTAATACTTTAATTTATTTTTTTATTTGATCTATGTAAGATTCTCATACATATAATTACCAACATTGACTAATTTATAATTGTACATAATTGATTTTAATTCATGTATATATTATATTTAGTCTGATTTGCATCGACTAATTTATTTGACAATTTTAACAAATTTATTCTTTTATTCTTCGAGCTCGTTAGAATTAGACTTAAATTTTTTAATTAAATGCTATCAAGATAACTGAAATCAATGCCAAGTACCAATCGTACAGGTGTCCTCCTAGTATTTGAGTGTGGTTCACTTGTCATGTCAAAGCCATTTTATTTTACTTTTTGGAGTGGTGGATGATTATTTCTAAGCAGACTCATCAATAGTTATCTTGACTTTTCATTTTCATTTATTTTTTGGGTCCTAATTTCACAAACATAAAGTCAAAGAATACAGGACATAGTTTAAATATCCTTAGAATTTCCATGAATTGAAAATTTCATAGGGAATATAATGAAAGAAAAATTCTCCATAAAAAAAAAAAAAGAAGAGAAAAATATGGTATATATTGTGCGTATAAAGAAGAACCATTTTTTTTTAATGATTATCAAGAGATAATTCAAATAGAAGATTTTAATTTTCGTAATCTCAAAGGGTTATGAGATAATGTATTAGAGAGGAAAACAAATTATCAAAAACATCATGTACATTCTAATAATTACGTTTTGGAACTAGAATTTTTTAAAAAAACAATCGTATTTTACGTCTTGCCTCCGTTGTGATTGTAAATTGAGAGAAAGTGCTATTATTTTTTGTTTTTTTTTTCTCCAAATCTCTGGGTTCACTAGGGTAGTTTGTACAAGATTATATAAAAAGGTGTAGTTTGACTTAGTGTTACCTTCAAATTACACCTTGTGATGTTATGATCTATCAAACTTGTACTTTAAAATATTCTCTAAATCACGGTTATCCAAGAGCGAATGACTTGCATTATTTATATACTATTTTTTAAGTGAAAAATAATTTCTAAAAGTATTTAATAGTAGAAATTGCATTTTTTTACTACACACAACAATATTCACAGCAAAAATAGAGGTGGGTCGTAGAAACTTCCCAAGATAGATAGAATTTCTATGCCGCAAATGTCATATATACGACAAAGGAGGGATTGGAAAATAAATGTATTTTTCTATTTTCTTTAAAGAAATTAGCACTTTAGTCTTTTCAGTACTAGCTATCAAATGTCTTAATCTGCTAAATCAAAGTTTCAAAGCTGTGTAAGTAGTTTTCACATGGCAATGCCAAAAATCGGGTTGAGAACCTAACCGCAGACTAAGAAAATAAGAGGGGAGTGTCGCAGCCGCAGAATAAATTTATAATATTTAACAAGTTGTCGTCGTAATTCAATTTATGACGTCAACACTATTGCAAGCAAGGATACGAGTCTTGTGTACTATGTGCGATCTTTAACAACACCACCGCGCTCCCACTTTCCAAGGCATTACTTGCCTATAAATTATCATCCCCCGTGGATCAATTTGAAGTCATCTCTATCCGCCTTCCCATTTGTGTTCTCTCTCTCTCTCTCACATACAGGGTCTCAGACATGGAGTCTAGTGACATTACTACAGCAACCACCAATAGCCGCTCAGTTTCGCCTTCTCCATCGTCTTCTCCACCTCGTCCACCAGTTGTTCTCAGCCCATGTGCAGCTTGTAAGGTTCTAAGGCGAAGGTGTGCAGATAAGTGTATCCTGGCACCATATTTTCCTCCCAATGACCCCCTCAAGTTTACAACTGCTCATCGCGTTTTCGGGGCAAGCAACATAATCAAGTTCCTGCAGGTACTTACACAGCTAGCTAGCAAGCCTGTTTTGCTTCAAACCCTTCAAAGCACTCATACTGATCATGGTCTTGTGACAAATTTTCCATCTGTTCATTTGTATTTTCAGGAACTCCCAGAGTCTCAGAGAGCTGATGCCGTGAGTAGCATGGTTTACGAGGCGAATGCTAGGCTTAGAGACCCTGTTTATGGCTGTGCTGGAGCAATTTGCCAACTTCAAAAACAAATCAATGAGCTTCAAGCACAAGTAGCCAAGGCACAAGCTGAGATGGTCAATATGCATTGCCAACAAGCCAACCTCATGGACTTGATTTCCATGGAAATGTCCAAATCTCCACAAACATCACCACCACATCTACAATCCTGCGACAACTTCATGACTAGTCCTTACAGTCTCCCCAGCAATCTGAGCTTCCTCGACGAAAGCAATCTAGGGTTTTGGGAGCCTCTCTGGACATGATGATCACTCATATATATCTTGGCATATTCAAGATCGATTCTCCTAACCCTAAGCCAATTGCATCAATGGGAAGGAAAAAATTGAAGAACACAAACAAATAAAGTTGATAGAGGGTAACATTAAATTGTTTATGTGATTTGAGTCGTTATAAGTCTGAGTCATGAAAGCAGTGATAAAACCGCGTACTTCAAATTCTATCCAGACCGTATTGTGACAAGAATCTCATGTATTAAGCTGCCATTTTTATACAATAAAATTTGATGTACCTTATCAGGAACTGGATGAAATATGCAGGTATGAACAGAAGAGAGAAAGCTAAGGCTGCTTAAGCTCTAGTGCTCTTGGTAAAGCACTTGAAGTGTATTGGTCTTTTCTTTTCCCTCCATGTTATCTTAATATCAGAAAGAGAGAGATGTCTTTGTTCCAAGTCTATTCACACATGCCATTATTAAACCTAAAGACTAAAACAACTTTCTGGTCACCTAATTCCATAAGCGATCTCTTTCTTATTACTTTCCTTCTTTCTTTCTATTCACATGCATTTTTGATGTAATCTTTGTCATAGAGCAACATATGAACATCTAAATAAGAAACCCAGTTACCATCTATAGCAATTCTAATACCACCCCATGCTGATTTCAGTTTTTCCACTCAATTTTTTTGGTTTGAATGCCTTGTACCTTCAGCTATTCAAATTCATGACACTTGGTACAAATCGTTAAATCTTGGACGGCGATAATCTATGTAAACTATCTTTCTACATTAATGCACGAGTTATTTTAGATCTAAAAAGTTAATGGTTCATACAAAGTATTAAAAATTTGAATAGGTGATCCGACAAAGTGAAATCACGATTATAATTTAAGAGAGCAAGACCATGTTTCCCTACTCCCTTTCTTGTCTTTGATCGTTAGAGAAAAATCATCAATCTCGCATCTAAGAATAACAGTCAAACTTTGCATTAGTATTGCATTATGTGATGACTTTTTTGTGTATTATGAAAGTGATCTTAGAGGTCAATGTTCCTCCTTGTTTAGCTTTTTAAAAAGACTTCTAGTGGAGCTGTCTTGAAAAATAGACTTACAACTGTGTTCTCTTTTGCAAATTCAGACTGTACTCAAGACCCATTTTTTCTTGGGGCTTATCTCACAGCTGACCTCACAAATGTGAAGGGTAATTAATTGTTAGCATGAATATTATTTATCTAGCAACCAAACGGTTATAGCTTAATTCGACATCACTAATTCTTATATTCTCTTGACCAAGAGGTCAAGGCGTAAATTCTTGTCCTACATAAAGATTAATTTTTCGTGTCTCTCTCATTAGAGGTATTGAGGTTCGAACCTGCGATTTTAAGGTCTAACAACAGAGACAGTGATGATTAGACCAACTGCTAACCTCTCTTTTAGGCTTCCTACTCATGTTCTTTTAGTGTTCGAATTTCTCATATCCTTCTCTTTCGAATTTATATTATGCCTCTCTTTCGGCCATCTTCTTCACCCTCTTTGTGTTTTGCATCTGTTTACGGTACAAATTCATTGTTTTTCATTGTATTGGTGTTTGTAAGGCTAAAACCTCTCAAGCAAACATTGAGGTGAAAGGTAATACAATTAATTTATTCATGCATGCAAACCATGCATAGTTTATAGCATGACGATTTTTAAATTTATCACACATACTTTTTATTTATTTCGATCATAATTTGGGGATTTAATTCAATGTTAAATTGAGAAAAACAATGAATTAAGTACCAATTCATGACAATTTTGAAATAAAATTACTAAACTACGACATTTTTGAACTTATTTACAAAATTACAACACTTTTTAAAACGAAGTCAATAATCTTGTTTTTATTAAAAAAATGGGAGTAACAGCTCCATTTTTAGTCTTTGGTTGGATTGATAAGATTATTTAATATTTCAATCAAATATAAAAGGAGGGTGTTAAGCCCAACGAATTTACTCTTTAAAATGGGATTTTTGACCCAATTTTTTAATAAAAACAGAGTCAACAACCCTGTTTTTTTTTAATAAAAAGTATGGAAATTTGATAAATAAATTTAAAAATATCATAATTTAATAATTTTATTTTAAAATTTCCATAAAATACTAATTAATCCGAAAAACGAGGGTGTTAGTGAATGTCATCCATGACAAAATTAATGCAGCTAGTGCTTATCCTATCGCTACAACTGTGTTGGTTGATGGATTCAGAAATTAGGTTCAGCTGGGACCAAAGTGTTATTATTATTATTATTGTTTTTTGATATGGCAGCTCGTTTAGTTAGTATAGTATGAAAGGTATTTTTTTATTGTTTTTATTTTTGAATTGGTAACTATATAGCATACCTCTTTTAGTATAATTAAAAACAAATTACTTGATTTTGTTAGCATCTAGGATTGAATGGATTGATGGTTAATGAAAAAAACCTAGTGATAATTTGGTATACTTGAGAGAGAATAGTATCGTAATTTTTTGATTTCTAGTTGGCGGGCATGCTTTGTTGACCCAACTATCTATAATCTATTTATATAATAAAGGTATAATACAATTCAAATTTTAAAAGATAAATAAATAATTTTTTGCAGTTGATATCTATTTAAATTTTACTTTAAAGTAAATTTGACGGTTAATATTAACATTCTAAATTTAATAGAGAAAATAAACCCTTATTTGAAAGCGATTGTATAACTTATAACTTTTCATAAGTACCTTTAAAAAAAAAAAAAAAGTTTGGAACTATTTCACCACCACCATCTCTGCCACAATAACCACCGCCACTGTCGTCATTCCCCCACCACCACCCCACCCACCGCCATCACCACCACCCTCACCCCCACCGCCCCACCGCCACCATCACCATCGTTGCCACCACCCTACCACCACCACTATTACTACCCCCTACGACCACCACACCCACCATCCCATAACCATCATTACAACTACCACCATCCCCATAGCCCCATTATCATCATCACCACCGTTGTCGCCACCCTACCACCATTGCCACCATTTTACCACCACCACCCCATCAATGCCCCACTACCAGCACCACCACCGTTGCTGTCACTTTACCCCCATCGCCAGTGTCTCACCATCACTCTTATCACTACTAGCCCCACCACTATTATCATCATTGTCATCCACAGCTGCGACCATCACAATCGATCGTTATCACTCATCACATCTATCACCTTCTCCTACCATCACCACTACAACCACTGTTCGCCCCTATTACAATCGGTGCTTAAAGTCATTTCTATCTACTCTATCTTTGTAATTTGATTTTGGGTGTGAATACAAATATGTTTATTGTTAACTTTTTTTTTATTATTTCTTGCTTTCAGGCATGAGAAATAACTAGTAAATTTATAATATAAAATAGAACATGTTTCAATAAGCATATCCGATAATCTCAAATAAACTCATCCGACGACCACCAACATCTTTCTCAAAAACCATTGACACTGAATTCCGCCTTTCAAATCTATCATTTCTCACTTACGTTACATCATGCTTTCAGACATGAACTACCCCTAGTATATGATATTAATAAATATATCAAGTTAGTGTTAAATTATATAACATGATTAATCAAATAGATCTTTTATATTGATAAATTGCTAGCTGGATACAAACTCAGACAAAACATAACATGACTCGAGTATTTCCCTTAATATTCAGCCAAATATAGAATAACTATTATTAAGGTTTCTACTGTGAACCAAGACATTGAGTCTGTTTGGAGTTGACTAAAATAAGTTGATTTTATAGACTTTGGAGTAAAATAAGTCAGGTCTGTTTGGATTTAGACTTTTTCACCAGCTTATGCATTAATTTTTTGGACTCAAAAAAGGCTTATTTAGTTTGTTTCAAAAAGTTAATTATATGAGTTTTTTCTTCTAGCTTTTTGGAGATTTGTCGTTTGTCATATAAAATTTTTTAGTTTATTATATTCATAAAATATTATTACTGACATAAAAAAAATTGATATTCATTTTTTTAGTATTATTATGCATAATCTATTCATACATGTAATTATTTTTTTTTTATTTTGACACAAAAAAAACTTGAAGTCACTTTAAATTAACTTTTATAATTTTTAGTTTTTTAAAGAACACCTCAAACGGTTTTTGGGACTTTTTTAACTCTTTTTTTTGGTGCAAAATTTTTTAAACCGCACTTTTTCACCTAAATAATCCAACTTCAAACATGCTCATTATTTTTTAAAGTGGGAAAACAATCTGAATCAGGATTTCAGGACCCCGGACCTAAGTCCAAACTTTTGATTTTACTCTCTCTCTCTCTCTCTCCCCCCTCCCTTTTAAAGAGCTGCACTTATCTTTTTTGGTTTCGTATTGGACATGGATATCTATCTTGTTGTTGGGCAGCCTTCAAATCTTCCTCTTTTCTCACTACCATCAACATGCGTGATAAGGAAGACCCCACATTATCATATTTTTTTTTTTTTGTTGACTGGTCTAGTGGTTTAAGGCTTTTAAGCATTTGGATATAGCACATCTTGTGCACATGATCGTGGGTCCTTTGACCTTCATTTTGTGAGACAAATCCTTACAAAGCTGAATAAAGGCAACTGCATAAACGGGTTGTTAATCCTATTTGCAAAATCGTGATTGCGTGGATAATTTTGTTACACAATTAAAATGTCATATTTCAAACGAACGGTTTCTTCTCTATCTAGAGATGAACTAGTTAGGGGGACAATTATGAAAGGCCAAAGACTAGGTTCATGGAAGCATTTCGAGTTTTACTTGACTTTGTATATCTAAGGGCAACTTCTTGTATCAGGCGGAATATAATGGTTCGAAGGTTCAAAATATATCATCAACTAGCATGATCAAAGTGTATGCAAAGCAACTCCTAACAATGAAGTCAATTGCCGACATCGATTCTCACCAATTGCTTTGGAAAGAATAGGAGTACTCTAGATTGTCGAAGCGGTGAGTTAGATCACTCATTATCATATATATTTGAAAA